TTCCCCTGCGACACCTTTCTCGAGTCATGCGGGACGTTTTCTTAGCGTCATAATTCCCATTTTGATATCGGTAAAATAATAAGAAAAAGAGTCAGTCACCCCGTCAGACACCCCGGGGTGCTGCCTGCTGCTAACGGGCATTTAAACAGTGATGAAGAGTCCCTGATCGCTCCTCACTGCAAAAAGTGACCACAGTGATCACTCTTTTATTCTAGTAGGCTATTATTATTGTTATTTAAAGAAACGTATTTAAAGAAATGTGAAGTAGGCGTTAATATGTGTGCTTGTTTTTGATCAAATATAACGTCGGGGATTTTCTGGAATGTACAGGGACTGAAACAAAGCATGGTGAAGGCAGGTCCTGTCACTGGTTTCCAGGAAATAACACACGCTGCTAGAAGTAAGCTTTCCGCGATTCTCTGGATGATTTTTCATACAATTCAATTAAAGAAAATAGCATTTAAAACCTCAAAACTACATTAAAATAAATGTACCCGACAAATATTTCCTGCAGGGTGCAGCGCAGAGAGGTGGTCAAACTTCAGTTTTTATCGACTGTTCTCTTAACGTTACATGTAGACTTTAGTGTCCGAACTTCTCACAGTCTTTAACCTTTGCGGTGTGTTCCGATTCTATTGAGATATGGTCATTGAAAGCTTCCGGGGGCCAACTGCTGCTGGGTCTCTCTCTGAGCACCGCTGGCGTCACTGTTCCGCTGCTGGAGCTGCTGCGTTCAGGGTTCAGCCTTCACTAGTTATAATCTTAAAGTGTTTGATAAAGGGGAACGGACCCTGTTTAGAATCCTTCCAGAAAAGTTCCTAAGTTATATAATGAGCCTTGTTTAAAGATTGAAAATCACTCTAAAGTGTGAATTTACCCTTTAAACCAGCTGGCATTTAACTCGACTCAGACATGGTCACATGGACATGTTGCAGTGTGCTGCTGCTGGTGACGTTGAATGGACCTACTGCTAATTTTCAGGATTTCTTTTAATTTATTTATTTATTTGTATTAACCTTCAATTACTTACTTCCGGTATCAAAGCAAACGTGCATTTCTGATATTGGTCATGGTGGTGAGCTGGAGGCACCTGCAGCTTTACTTTGGGTGACTTCTTTCAAACTTTGATAGGTCGTCAATTTGATCAGAAATAGCACATCCCCTAGTTTTCATCATTTATTTTATTTCTTATTTTAGCTGTAAACAGGATCATTTCAGAATATTCTTGTTGTTGAATGAAGTGAAAGACGTTCTTATCTAATACGAATTGTATTGTTATAGAGTGAATATCACTTCTTTCAACGGAAAGCACCTGCCATTTCAATTTCTTTCTTACTACCTTGAAAGTGTTGCACATTTTCTTGAAGAATGAGGCATTTTGTGAAGTTGAATCGTAGTTTCAAGAAACATTCTAGAAAAGTGTAACTACCCATGATGCAGTGGAAGTGCGGATGTGCCAATCTTAGTGTTTCACCATAAGAAACTTGTATTACACAGAGTAAGTTGAAGCATCTTTTCTAACCGAACATGAATAACGTGATGATGACAGTCAGGACAGTGTGAGGCTCTTCATATGACCCCCACAGCAGAGATAGAGAGAGAGAGAGAGAGAGAGAGAGAGAGAGAGAGAGAGAGAGAAGAGAGAGAAGGATAGAAGCAGAGAGAGAAGAGAGAGAGATAGGGATAGAAGATAGAGACGATAGATATCCGCATAGCCTGCGATCTAGAGCGCGCGCGATATGCTCGATGCGAGCTGCTAGATCCGATCTCGCATGCGCGCCTCCGCCGAGAAAAAGAGGTATCGAAGAAGTCTGCCCAGTAACAATCGCGCAGCCTCGCTCGAGAGCTGAGGAACTATTGGCTATGCAAATAGACACACAGGGAGGAGGAAGCAACTTAGGCTGGGAAAAAAAACTTTAAAGAGACATTTCCCCCACTTTTCTCACAAGCATTGCTATATAGCCAAGCAGCCTGGGATGGAAATGACCAGCTCTGAGGACTTTCAGTCCCCAGCATTGCCCTGATGCTCTGCAGTCTCGTTTCATTCAAGCCTCAGTCTTTGAAGTTGACTAAGAATAGGAGGGGGGATTAACATATTTACCCATGCAGATTCTCTTTGTGACTGTTTGTGAGGCTAAATCATTTGGCAGTCATTTTTTTAATTATCTGCTTACTCTCTCAGCTCCGTTTCCACCTGCTTGTTTTTACATGTAAATTATTACAAAAGCCTAAACAAATAAATAAAAAATAATGGAATATAGCACACACTGGTTGGTAACAGCCTAGTTGGCTTGAGCCAAAGACAGTGACTGTCATCGTTGTTATCTTTAACAGAAGATCGTGCTAGAAAAAAACATGTCAACGCTGCTTCACATTTCCTAGAAAGCTATCTCATAAACCACAAGCAGTTTGTGGCTGAAATGAATTGAATAGTTCGACCATGTGTGTGTATGTGTGTGCGAATGCGTGTGTGAGAATGGGTGGGAGGGTGTTGGTCTGTTCTGTGCACGCGCACGGGCACGCACATACATTGCTGTAAGTTAGCATGCAGTGTTGATAGGCACATGCATGCAGTATACATGCGTCATGCTCTTGGGTTCACTGAGTCTGTTTGAAAGAGCTGAACACGAATTAGTTGCTTTTTCCCCAATTTCAAACGTATTTAAACTAATATTTCAAATATATTGAAGGTAGCCTACGCAATAAAGTTGTTTTTTAAGGCATTCTGTTGAAAAAGTGCAAAATAATGCAACAATGTATGTGTTTGTAGCCTATTATGTCAATGGCACTGCACTCCAATATGTAATCATAATCACAAGGCAACATAAAACATATTAAGAAACCAAAAAAGGTAACATTTCCCCTGGTAGTACCATGTTCTAATTTAAATCCATTAAACACTTACTCAAATACATCCAAAAGAATGTGTTTATTTTAGCCTAAGAAAGTCTGTAAATGTGAATAAATCTGGTTAAAGTCTCACTTAAATGGATTTATTTTGCATATTCCACTGTATTGTTGTTTTGTTGTGTCAGCTTTATAAATGTTAAAATTGAAACACGCTTGCTGAAAGTTGTCGTGTGCGGCAGAGTGAAAGAAAGGGACAGGAGAGCAGCATGTCGCTTCTGGTCTATACAGAGGTAATGAAGTGAATTGCGTCAGTGGCGCATGTAGGGCTGGCTTGAAATGATCTGGGCAGGCGGATGAAAGTAGAGGCGCACTGTGGGGAGAGAGGAAAAAGTTCTCAACAAGGAGAGGCAGGACTACTCTTACGGAGCCCCTGCAGTCTCACTTTTTATGCCTCTAAAACACTTTCCCGGCCATCCTTTTGCATTTTTACCCCGCAACGCCGCTTTTACGTTTCCCTGAGAGAAATACAACCATTTTTTATTTATTTTTTACTTAAGTGAAAGCACCAGCAGCACCATGGAGCTGCTCTGCCTCGAAATGGACACCATCATACGAGCTCGTCCCGATCCAAACCTCCTGTGCGATGACAGAATCCTGCAGAACTTGTTGACCATAGAGGAGAGGTTTCTACCCCAATATTCCTATTTCAAAGGCGTCCAGAAAGATATCCAGCCGTTTATGAGGAGGATGGTCGCTACTTGGATGTTAGAGGTATACCGAAACACCGAGTGCTGACAAGTCTTATTATTTCCGTGCTAGACTTTAAAGCCTCCTGATTTGCTCCGTTGCTGTTTTACTGTGCGCTCTTTGCAATTGTGTGGACAGAATATAAGACTTCAAGGTCTCATTTCCGACTGCTTATTCCTCATATTAGCCGAATGTGTCGCTTTCTGTCAATTCTTGCCATTTTTAAAGTATGGTCGCGAAGACATGAAACTTGGAGCTGTGATCTCCGTGCCTCCGGAGACTTTCTTTCATAAGATTCGCATGTTTTCTGTACGAGCTGCCTGTTGATTCTTTATTGTTATTATTTTAGATTGCCTGAATATTTCCATGCACACGTATGCACTCCCCAATGCAATGCTGCCCTGTGCTGTTCTATCGCCATGTTGGTTTTTTACAGGAGCGCTTGTGCTTTTAAGGGGACTTTACAGTGTCATAAACGCAATAACAGCGGCTAAAAGCCATCGGCAATGACAGAGGAGGGTCTTTTGTGTCCACTGAATATAGTCAGGATGTCTAAAAGCGTTGCAAACATTTTATGTATCTATTTTAAATGTCGGAAGGGACGCGGGCCTTATCTGTCCTTTTGGTCTTCCCCCCGTCGCTATGCCTCTCTCTGGAATTATGTTCGATTTATGACACTAGGTTCAATATTTCTGGTCATCACACCCACCTTGATCAAACTGGAGACTATGAGCTTTATTTACATGTAATTTTTGTCCCGATCAGACCCACTGAATATTTCTTATTAATTTTTGAAATAAATATATCGGGTCGCCGGTGACGCACATCAGACCGACATCATGCTACTTGGCTTTTGATTTGACGTTTTATTCCTATTTATCGCGCACAGATTTGGATAGGAATCGTCGGATCTGATACAGAAGACCCACATTAAGATTATGATGCGAAGAAACCCGGTTGAGATAATTTATTTATATTTTAATTATTTTATGAAAATATGGCGAATGAAAAAAAGAGCGTTTCCGTGTGCTGCGCGGTCGGGGTGTTTTTTGGCTCGGGCTGATTGTGACTTGAATTCGTTTCTTAGTGAATGAACTGCAGGAATGTGACTCTTTTGACAGTATATGTCTGAGACTCATTTCATTCTTTATAAAATAATATATTTCGAATTAATTCGTGATGTCGCAACCGATTAGGGCTGGGCGCAGATTCTTGGCCGGGCCCCAACTATGTGTGTCATTGAATTTATATGTGCTCTTTATGTGATTTCACTTTTGTTTCGTTTTCTCATAAAAGTTGTATATACATTTCAAGTGCTGGAAAATAAGTCAGTTCTGTGCATGGGTGGCTTACTGATTCCAAATGCTGAACATTGTTGCATTGTCTGCTGTGTCTTTATCCAGGTTTGTGAGGAGCAGAAGTGCGAAGAAGAAGTTTTCCCCTTGGCCATGAACTACTTAGACAGATTTTTAGCCGTGGTACCCACCAAAAAGTGTAACCTGCAGCTGCTGGGAGCAGTGTGCATGTTTCTTGCATCCAAATTGAAAGAGACTCGTCCATTAACCGCAGAGAAGCTTTGCATCTACACAGATAACTCCATCAGACCACAGGAGCTGCTGGTAAGCAACAGTTGGTTCAACATATATTCACTGAATTCACCTTTGATGATTCATGCTGTCATCATCAGCTGCTAAAGCTTTTGTGATAAATGTTGTGTTTCTGTATCATGTTTATTTTTGGGAAGAAAGTTTATTTCACTAGTTTAAAGGTATTAAATCACTTAAAATATGTTCAAATTACTCATCCAGCACATTACATCAGATATGGTTATTGCTCTCCTTCTGCTGTCCAGTCTCCACTTTGGTCTGCGCCTTCATGAAAAGCGAAAGCCTCTCAGTGAAGTGTCCCACAATGGCTCTCTTTACTGTACAAGACCCTCTAGGCTTTACAGTATCCTTCCAGCCTGTGCAATGGTCTCTATCGCCATCTGGTGGCAGATATTTGCACAGAGCAACGAGGTCAGCTTGAACCCCAGCCAAAGTTCTGACTCTGTTCCTGTCAGCGAGAGAGAGGGAGAGACACAGAGAAAGTCAAGTTTGCCTTTTACAGTTTAGCTTTCATCCAAAAATAACCCTGGATGCACACATTGCTGATATTATGTCATGCGTCTATTTTTGATTCGCACACATTTTCCAACGCTGAAATATAGCACAACAATGATGCAGGGTGTGTTATGTGGAGGGTTTTAAAAAAATGTCATTCCTCAGTGCGGTATATTTGATAAGGCCTCTATGCCTGATAATACCAGCTGCCTTCACCAGTGCAACCCAATTAATTAACTCAGTTTCGAATCAGATAAGTGTTTCCCCACGGCTCTGTGGTGCTACATAAACATTCCTCGGTAAACAACAGCCATCCCACCCATGTTGTGAAAGAGGCCACATATTCTGATTCAGACGTGGCTGATGTAGCCCTGCCTCGCTGCCTGACTCTCCTGCAGAATACTCAACTTTGTGAGGTGCTGCTGTTGGTTGATTTCTGATCATTTTATTGAGTGTATTACTGCTGGGATTGCAATGCTAAGCGTATTAGTTTTAGTCCTATAAAGCAGAATGTCATACTGCGCTTTACAAGAAGACGTCCTACCTTTATGTTCATTGTGAAGACAAAGCCTTCAGTCCTTGAACTGATTTGCTGGGACCTCTTCTCAGTGTTTCTGTATATGGCAGTATTTTGGCTGACATGCAGATACAGGAAACAGAGATCAGCTGCTCGGGGCATGTGATCGTTTTTTGTACTTGTCTTTGGTAAGAATTTCTTGTAAAGAGAACCGCAATGTTACAGAAGGTATGACCAGAGGAAGGCAGTAGAAGAAGGAAGTGGTGCCCGCCTGCCTGCCTGCCACTCTGTCAGCATAGAGCCTGTGTTGCAAGCCTTTGCTGTATATAGGCTTGAATCTTTCTTGCTGGCACTGGAAAAGGCTTTTTAGAGAGCAGGGAGGCGGCCATGTTGCAAACATTACCAAACACAATCAACACACCACTGCTGGGTCTTATGATTTGCATATGATCAAATAATTGAATCTGTGAGATAGCGGTGACACACCTCCAAGCAAACAGAGGAAGACACCTTTAACCTTTTAGTCAGGGGTGCTTTTATTTTCTCATCCTCCCACATGCTGTTGCTAGGAATGAAATCCCTGTGTATACAAATAAAGGTTTTCCCCTCCCCCTCTTTAAATGTCCCTGGCATCAAAGAGATCAGAAAACATAATAAGGCTGAAAAAGGTCACTGATTAGAACATTTCAGCTGGTCAGTGGCAGCCATGTTGAATTGTCTCGTGACTGAGTCCATGTGGTCTCTCTCTCTCTCTCTCTCTCTCTCTCTCTCTCTCTCTCTCTCTCTCTCTCTCTCTCTCTCTCTCTCCTGCTTCTCTCTCTCTCTCTCTCTCTCTCTCTCTCTCTCTCTCTCTCTCTCTCTCTCTCTCTCTCTGCGTGTGTCACTTAGAAGCAAAATGAAGAGCATCCCGGTCACAAGGCTGCAGTGCAGTCCGGAACCAAACCACCACATTTTTCCCAATTAGTCACCAACTCTTTCGTTAATCACCTCCTCCCCTAGGAAGTGAAAGTAACAATACTTTCGTAGAGAACGCCACACCTAGACCCCCCCCCCCCCCCCCCCCTCCACACACACTCACAGAGACACCCATTTCACAAACACTCATCTAGTTTAGCATGTGTCATCAAATGTTGCCAACTGATCCAAATGATGTATGCATGTACAGAGAAGTTTAAGTTGTCTAAAGATGCTAAAGGTTAATGTTTCCTGTTAGTCTTTAACGTTATCTGGCATTTATGAAGACTAAAATGAAGAACAATATGCGCTGAAATGGTTCATTGTTGTTAAGGCCTTAGCAGAAAACACAAAGTGCAACAAATAAAAATAGTTACATTATTTTATTACCTGTTGCAAGACTTTTGATGCTTTTAAATGATGAATGGAATGCGATAAGATAAAATAATGAACCACTTTTGAATACATAACACAGATTCATTGCTGGCCCTGTTCATTTTCACTCTGCAATCACACACACACACACACACACACACACACACACACACACACACACACACACACACACACACACACACACACACACACACACACACACACACACACACACACACACACACACACACACACACTATGAGTTAAACCTCCGGTGGGCCTCTTTAGGAAAGTCCCCAGATGCCAGACAGACCGACGGGGGGAGACAGTGTGTGAGGTCACCTGCTTGGTGGCGCTGCTGGTGTTTCTCTGTCCCAGGCCCGGCCAAGCAGAGACTAACGTAATAACAATAATGCTTAACCTCAACGCATACTAATGTTCGGGGCCAGGGGCCCACAGAGGCACGCTCACTGGAGGGAAACTAGCTGCAGTAAAGGGCTACAGTATGTAAATGTATGGTTGTACTTTGTGTCACTTAATCTTTCTCAGTCTTTCTCATTTTCGGTTATCTCTCTCGGCTCTCTTCTCTTCAGGAGTGGGAACTGGTGGTGTTGGGGAAGTTGAAGTGGAACTTGGCAGCAGTAACGCCGAACGACTTCATCGAGCACATTGTGAGGAGGCTGCCGCTGCCCGAGGATAAGCTGGCACTTATACGCAAACATGTCCAGACCTTCATCGCCCTATGTGCCACAGGTAGGACACCATGACAGCTTACCAGGAACATGTTGCATGTCCTTTTTTCAATTGTGATTTTAAGTTGCGAAAAACTGATCCAAAAGATGTGCGACGTCATCTCGATATCATTTGGTTTTGACACTGATCATGGATATGCTGCCAAGTCAAACCAAGCGATAATGGCTTGCATCAACATACTTTCTCGTGTTGCAAAACATCTTTATCTGCACATTCTTCTTTCAGCGCTGTATTAAAGCCCTCTTCTCTGAATACCGTGAGGCAACAGCCGTATTCTGAGGTGTGCTCTGGGCCAGTCCCAGCCCGCAGTAACTGAAGTATTACCTGGGATGGGAAAATATTCTTCCTGAGAAAGGCATGTGTCATGGAAGGCATTTAAGCGTTAGACTCTTATGGCTGACGTCCATCATTTGTCTTCTCTCAGACCGGTATGTGGTCATGCTTTAGAGGCATATCAGTGGCTTCCAGAGCATCCAGTAACACTTCAAAGCACATTTATCCTGGATGAGGGGCATTCCCATGTCGCACAGGGTCGAGAAGAGGAATGGACAGGGGTGGAGGCAGGCCGGCCATTGTCTTTCTGCTCTTGAGGTGAATTGTTCTCTTAAGATCAAACATCCCGCGAGTGGTGACAGGCAGCCTTTAACATGATCTGGAGAGACGGAGACGATGCAGGAGGGAACAGGAGAGTCAGGGAAAGCCGGAGGAGTGTATTGTTTTTGCGTTGCCAATTCTAAGGCATGTCATGTTTTCATATCTCTTTCCCCTGCCGCCTTCCTTCCCTCTTCCCCCCCCCCCCCCCCCTTACTTCTCACGCCTCCCCGCCCTACAGCTGGAGGACATGATAGCTTTCCCATGTTGAGATTCTCTGTGGGGCAGGTTTCTCCTGTTTGCGGCACCTCCACCTCTCATTCAAAACTGAAAAAATGTGCCAAAAAAACAACCGTATTTATCTTAACACTGCTGAGAAAATAACACAATGCAACCACAAAAAAGGCTGTCGTTTGTTTCTCATTCTCTGGGTGACCACCACCAGCAGCAGCTTCCTTTTCTACAGGAGTGCTTAATACACCCCCCATGGGAAACTGCTCCTTGTGCTGACATCATTCAGAGGAGTGTGTGTAGTTAGTTGAATAGATACAAGGGAGGTGACAGGTATTTACATCATAAAGCGATGGAATCCCATGCACCGATTGTGCAATGGGTATGATAGGGTGAGACACATTTGCAACAAAAGTTCATGTTTGCAACGTTTTTAGGAAAGAACGCCTGTTTCCTCTATTTCTCTGCGTCATCTTTTCCTTAACTCTCTCCTGCTATCTCTCCCTGCCTCACCCCAAATACCTCATGCCTTATTTTCTGCCAGCGGGTTGATGTGTGGAATGACAGCGCGTCAGTGATCGAACCTTTTTCCAATGCAACATTGTGAAAGTCTCAGCATGCACTTTGTCCTTAATTGCTTCAATGAGGCAGTGGAAATACATTTACGAGCCTCCTGGAGTCCTCCTGACATTGTGTTTTAGGAGAGAGACTATTTGGAGATAGCCCTGGATTAGCAACAGAGCGTTTATCGGTGTATATGCTCTCCTCAGACTTGTATCCAGGCAAACAGAGAGTGAGAAAGAGAGAGCGCAAGTGAGTCAACAATTTGGTGCATCTACAGATCTCTGGGAATTCGAAACCCCATTTGGGGAACGTTCCCAGACGTAAATCTCCGGGTTATCTGGTGGGAATCCTCCTCGAGACGTCGTCTGAGCGGGGCTGAGGAGGTGAAGACGCAGCAGAAGGAGGCCACGTCTCAGGAGGATTTACATTTGCAAGACAGTTGACAACGAGTCACCTGTGGCCTTCCTATTTCATGCCGCCTCATTCAGCCCGGCACTACTACCACCGCCGCTGCCCCTACACTGAAAAAGAAAACATGCATGAAACCACGGCTCTCTGTTTTGAAGGGAACAAGAGAGAGAAGAGGAGAAGTGGAGAATAAGGCCTCTCATTCCTAATGGCTCCTCTCTTTTGATGGAACAGTTCCGTTCGGGCCACTCGGTGGGATTTTGTCAGGTGGCGCAGGCTGGCTCTGTATTAATTAATAACATTGGCTGCTCCATTCAGGACTATGCAAATGGCTGGGGAGCTCAGCTAGAGGCTGGGAGAAAGGAGACAAAAGGCTTGGCCCTTACATTTCATATGCAGAGCCATGCGAGGGTCAGCGCTGCGGGGCCACTTGATAGGAAACACCAGCGTTTCCCTCAGGCAGGCTGCCGGATAATAGCCCAGAAACAAGCTCATTAAGGGAGATTATGAACCTCCATTCCTACACACAGACACCAAGCACTCCCAGCTTCCTCTTCTATTCTTATTCAATTGAGGTAAAGTGGGAGAATGGACGGGGTGCATGGGGCAGACAGATGCACCCCAACCTGTCTGCTGCGGTTATTGAGCTCCGTTTTCTTGCCATATTGGGAGGGATTATGCTCTATGTTTTTTATACCGACTCCAATAGCCCTCTCTGTAATGGTATGCATGGAATGGTGACAATGGTCATACAAGTTGATCAAAAGACATTTCTGGATCAGCGCCAACAGTGCTGTCCAAGAGAGAGTCAATTGTCCTGAAGGACACAATGAAGATTTAGCTACAACTCGGGATATAAATAACAAGGGATTTAAGTATTCGCTTGGAAAAATATTTGATTATTCTTTATCTGTGGCACTGTTTTTGGACTGTGTGAAGTAACTTGATGATTAACTGGTTAGTTTCTCTGAGACTAATGATTCACTAGCTGACAAACATGAGAGAAGTCCAGTGTTCTCTGCATGGGTTCACTTTTTACCTTTCGAGTTGTGATAAAGCCAGGCTTATTTTTATATTTACAAAAGGAGTGTGCGGAGTATATAAATCCTACACTTTGCATACATCCTACTCACACAGTTTTATACCAGCACACTGCAGACATTTGTTAAACTGCTTCTTAACATAAAGAAAGTTGGAAAACATGCTTACATACTGTATTTCACATTTCTATATATGGAATTATGCCAAAAGAATCAGTCAAACTACACAAAGCTGTAATTAGAGCCTAACCGATTTAACATTTGTCCTATGTGGTTTTCCAAGCTACGTGCCTCAAATCCTTGAGGCTATTTGTCTATACAGGAAGCGGCAAACCTGCCAATTTGTACGCAACATTGACCAGTCTAATATTACGAGATGATTCATGAGTTCTCTTTTCATCTAAGCTGTTAAACCGCATCGGTCCGGAGGCAGGAATGCTCCTCGGAAGCTTCCTCTCCGAGTGGCTGCTTCTCGGAGAATCCCCTCCAGGCTCATCTCCGCATTCCGGTGACAAAAGATTTATCTCAGATGTGGTCAATGAAATGGTATTTACTGGTGTTTGTTTACATAAAACCCCCCTTCATGTTTGATGACTCAGAACCCTAACAAATTAGAGATCTCCTCCGACAAATTGTCCACATGCTCCACTGATGTGAGGAATCACGTCCGGTCGGCCGCACCGTCAACACATGGAGCTTCCTGACAGTGAATCATGGATTGGCATGTCCTGATTTCCCCCCCTCCTCACCTCGCTGGTGTAATCAGCACCACACTGTAAATACTGTGGCGAGCTGAGTCACACCAGACTCACAAATAATGAGATTTTTGCTTTGAAGGGCTGCAATTACCCGACCAAAAAAGGTTTTGAAATCAAAATGTTCTTGAGCTTACATGTTTACCTTGGAGGTCACGTTGACCGCAAAGACTAATATTTGTGATTTGACCTAAAGTAAATGTTAGTTAGCTAGTTTGACCTGGACTTTTTTGTCATGACATCAGTGTCTTTCTCCAAATTGTTTTGCTGAATGCAGGGTTTAATTACCTCAGATAAGCTCTTTATTCTTTCCAAATCGTCTCAGCCACAGAGATAAACAGATTTTGGAATATTTCACCCTTGATCCGAATCTGTACGCTCCCCGGCGCTGACGTTACCAACGCCTCAAGGCCGCAGCTGTGACAGTGCAGATGATGGTGCAAGGCTGAAGAGAGCTGTCACGGGATGCTGCAATTAAGAAAGAATTCTGTTTTCTGGCAAATGTTTTCAAATCGCAGTTTAAGAAGAAGTTCTGTTTTGGGTTCGTCTCCAGAGTGACAGTCTGAACAAGATTTCATGGAATGTGACAGGGAGCAGTATCGAGTTATTGTTTCTTAATCTGTGATTTCTCACTGTGTTGCATATGAAAGGACTTCTAAAGCCCAGTTGGGAAGTTGTTGTTGTTGTTGTTGTTGTTTGTGTGTCTCAAAGAGCTCTGCTAGGTGAACCGTCTGAGCAGCTCTCCACAGACCTTGTTTTGACTACCGGGCTGTGTTTCGTTAGCGGTGAAACATACTGTCATGCCAATCCCCAAAATGATGTTTGTTTTTGGCCTTAATCCGTCAACAGGCCGCGGGACCTCGTAATGCTACTCCTTTAATAAACAAGGTCAATAAGCACTACATGTATTGAATACAAGACCCTGATTTATAGCGGTGGAAAGAGAGGAGAGGGTGCGAAGGAGAACTTTTTTTTCTTCTTCTTCTGGCTGTTGTTCAACTTTCCAAACTTTAATTAATTTACAAGTTTAATGTGAATACTGAGCAATCACAGCCACCCAAGAGGAATGGGCCATGTAGGGCAGCAGACTGTGTGACCAGAGGCCTGAGGGATGGAGTATCAGGGCCCAGGAGCACGGAGGAATGGAGATGAGGGGGCACGGGGAGGAGAAAGGGCCATTGAAGGGGGTGAGAGGCGCGCAGGCCAGGCCAGCCAGCCGCTGCTCACAGGGAGCTTTCCATCGCAGGCGTCCCCACTCAGCTACATACACTGTTTATCCCCAACATGAATATCAATGAGGGCCTCCTAAAATACGGCCATTCTTCCCCCCACATGCAGCAGCCACCAGGCCGGAGTGTCAGCCTGCGTCGGCTGCACGCGCGTGTCCTTGTTCTGCCACAGACCTGTCTTGTCTTGAGTGCGAAAAATCAGCTTGCTGCCCACTGTCCGCCACTCAGCTCTCCCACAAACCTGCTTCTGTGCTGCGTGTGTGTGTGTCTGCATCTTAAAACATGCAGGCATCAGTGCATTGTTTATTGCCCGTGTCTCTTAGGTGTCCGCCTCCTTGCCTGTCAGTCTGCCCTCACTACACACGTACAGTAAATCCGTGTATGCCTTTGTCCTTTTAGCCCTCTATAGAAAGTGGTGCTCTTACAGCAGTGATGTAATGCTGAGGGGCTTTGTGTGCTCTTTCCTCTTGGCTCGAGGTAGCCTTTAATAAATCGCCCCTTGGCAGAGGCCCAGCGGCTAACACAGGGGTGTATAATAAGTTCATTTATTTGTCAACACTGAGCCCACAAGATGAGAAAGCGCCTGGCTGTGCATGTTAAAAAGGCAGTGAGGGGCTGCCTTTACAGCTATCAAAGAGCCCACCTCTTTGATTCCACATTTTTAAAAAGAAGGAAGAAGAAGAAAAATCTCCTTCATGGCCATCACACGCAGTTTGCTTTGCAATTGAATATGGCAATATGTTAATGTGCAGGCTGTTTCATTGCCCCCACTGCCCACTCCTCCAGCCCATAGGTGGCCCTGGAACAGAGGAATACTTGTGGGGGGGGTGGATGGGAGGCAGGAGGTGAGGGTCGCTGGAGGGCGACTCTTTTCTTCTTCCAAACCCTCACAGGAGTCTGGACACAGACTTGAGAGTGATGTGCAGCGGAGTTGTCGACCCCCTCTCCTCTCCCACCAAGCCCACCAACATCCTTTTCTCCTCGTTGCCTTGTCGCCAGTCCGTCCATCCCTCCTTCTTCATCTTCCCCCCCCCGTCGACTCCCTATCCTCCCCCCCCACCCTGTCCGGCCACGCTCTTTGTCCGGCCTGTCTCTCTGAATTGGTATCAGCAGAGAGGGGATGGATGCTGTTTCGCTCAATTGGGTGAAATTAGGTGATGACTCGGGACAATGGAGTCACACTCTTCTGCCTTCCCTCTCGCTGGCCCGCCACTCTATTAATATGCTAAAAGATAGGAGGGCTGCCAATGCAAACCGCTGCCTGTTGTAGCAACAAAGACTGAGGCATGTGTGCCATTCACTGGCCGCATCTAAGCCGGCCATGTGTTGTCAAGGAAGAAAGGTAGAAGTTGAGCAAGACATAAAGAGAGAATAGAGAAAGTGTGTGTGTGTGTGTGTGTGTGTGTGTGTGTGTGTGTGTGTGTGTGTGTGTGTGTGTGTGTGTGTGTGTGTGTGTGTGTGTGTGTGTGGTGTGTGTGTGTGTGTGTGTGTGTGTGTGTGTGTGTGTGTGTGTGTGTGTGGTGTGTGTGTGTGTGTGTGTGTGTGTGTGTGTGTGTGTGTGTGTGTGTGTGTGGTGTGTGTGTGTGTGTGTGTGTGTGTGTGTGTGTGTGTGTGTGTGTGTGTGTGTGTGTCTTGTGACTCTCTCTCTCCCTCTCTCTCCCTGTATGCCAGTTGCCTTGCCTTTTCGGGCTTCTGGCCCGTTCACAAGCTGTCTCATTTGCATTATGAATGACAGTGAGGGGAGCTAACAAGGTTATTGGTCTTTGAGACGCACGCCTGTGACCACACGTGGAAAAAGGACCTACAGCAGTGAGCATTGGCAGAGGCACTGAGCCTCTTTATTCCTCCCTTTCCAAGCGCTATGGGGCTTTTTTCAGAGAGCACACGATTTACTCAGGAGATGGAAGAAAAGGGGCCGGGCTGGGGAAAGGGGGATTGGGGTGGTGAGCGGGTGAGGGTGGTTGCTTTTCAGCTCCTTTACAAGCCAAGTGAACCCTCATTATCCAGGCCCCTGGTCATTAGTGAGCGCTGCGTTCAGGCCCGCTACAGTAGAAGGATTATTTATTAGCTGACTGCTAGATTACCGAATCATATTGTCTGTACCCTTTTTGTGGAGCATATGGATTGAAAAGTGACATTTAGAAACTGCACCAGGTGAATACAGAATCCAGTGTAAATCATCTCATTTATCCACGGATCGGAAGATTTTAGTTCCGTGCTTACCATAACAATATCATTTACAAATAGCACTGGAAACTCACTTGGTATTTCTTTCTCTAACAGATTTCCGATTCGCCATGTACCCCCCCTCCATGATTGCAACAGGAAGTGTGGGGGCAGCGATCTGCGGCCTGCAGCTGGATTCAGCTGACCAGTCACAGTGGGGCGACAGTCTGACAGACCTGCTGGCTAAAATCACAAACACAGAAGTGGTGAGTTTGGACAAGACACATATATTTTTCCCAAGAAATGAACTTCGTAAAACTCTTATTAGTCAGGGTTAACACTTGTCATCATTCTTGTGTCTGGAAATAGTTTGGGTGGATGTTTCTGAGTAATATCTGAATGAGTAAATGTTAGTTTGTCTGCCAAGTGAGGTGGTCATCGGTATTTATCTTAGTGCAATTATTACAGTAACTGTGTGATTCAAAGCTGAATCCAGCTGCTGTTCCGTCTAATCTGTCAGTGAACATCTCTGGTCAAATTCCACAATTTGCCCGTGTTATTTCAAATGAAACACACAGTTTTACAATCTGTCTTGTTCTACTAGACTCTCTGAGGAAAAATATCCCTATTATTTATGTCAAAGGTTAAGAAATGCCACATGTTGGTAGAACTTTGCAACAGAGAGAAGTTGAAATGTTGAAATGTTACACACAGATTTGGACTTCTTCCCTTGGATTACGCTTTCCACAAACCCTTATTTGGGAGAGTGGGGGACAGCGGCCAATATGTCTCATGAAATTACCCAAAAAACGGCACCAAACTGAGATCATAGGAAGAAATCCTGAACTGCGTCATTTTATTTGCAGTCTCTTCTGTCATACACTTGACCAGAGAGGTCTCATGAGGCAGGTTTCTCCTCCTCTCCATCAGTCCCCCCCTCATATAAAGACTCCTGTAAATCGAGCCAGGTTGAGAGCATATACAGTGTGCTCGGCGGCTGACAGGAATGCTGGCCAGGCCGCTGTGTGGCTGTCTGGGTACAGCGAATGTTGCGGTGGTGGGTGAGTTGAGTCCAAACACAGGCAGGGCCTCTTCTGACTCTGAGATGCCTGGCTTTCATCACGCGGATGGGAGAGGGCTTCAGCTCGCTATAGCTTACTGTAAGGGAGCTTGTGAGGTGATCGCTCTTTATTAGTCTCTTTGGAGAAATTACTCTTCTGCATTGGAACGATCCTAAGTATTCAGGAGCAGGGGGCAGGGAGCTGCTGCAGTTCTGAGGCCTTGGCAAGAGGATTTCTAAAACCAAACATGATGAAAAGGGCTTTTAGTTATTTAAACATGAGCATTCAGAGTTCATGTGTGCTCGCTGCAGAGGGGCAGATCAAAGGGTGTGACACGGATCCCAGGCCTCAGCCCTGGTATGTTCAATTCTGTCCCAAAAGGAGGCGAAGTAGGAGGAGGAGGTGGAAGGAAGCTGTTGAAATGTGAAAAGGACACTGGGTGGGGGGGTGCGGGAATCATGCCTCCCTCGCGACAATCAGCCCTCTCTCGTTGCCTCCTATGGTCCATATTGCAGCACTGCTGGAAAGCATGGCTCCCTCTGGTGCGAGCGGTGTGAAGTCTCGCTCAGCAGCTGAGGAAAAACAAATAGCTGACCTCAGCAGCACAGGGCCTCAGTGTGTTTAGGCTGCAAGGTCTCAGACTTGAGGGAATTAAGTCGCTCTCTGTCTCTATGATCAACTCCTCACATTCCTGGATTCAGACAAGCCATGGCTCGCAGTAAACACACGAGGCAAGGCAGAGGGCGCCCTTCCTAATTCAACATATATGAGAGGCTTTAGTGTAAACTGCTGAAAAGCCAGCCAAAGCTAAACAGATGCAGTATATTTTGGCTTGCTAAGTTACTTAAGACGTGTGCCCCACTTCTTCTACAACTAACAAACTAAATGACAGAAGTGTCATAGGTGTCTTCAGTGCTATTAACGCTGTTTATGCTTTAACAACAAAAGAGGAAATGGTGAGCATTAGACTGTGTCATGTTCACACTTACCCTACCTTCTTTTAAGAAAAACTGTACCCCTTAAAACGTCAATTCAATACCCAAGGGTCACCTCAACTTGAATTTGGACCGCAGTCATCGGGGTGGTGGGGTGAACCTGAGTCTAAATGTGTACACACACTGTGTTTTCTGCGTCTCGTAGCCAACGGCCAAAGAGCCAGGCAAAATATGAAGGCAAAGCAAGTTTCTTCAGCCTGCCAACAGCATCATGGCCACCCCCCGCCCCCACCTGCTGGCATCTGTGGTATCCAGAAGCTGTGGTTTTCCAGTGGAAATGAGATAGGGCCAAGTCACCGTCTTGGCCAGCTGGAAGAATTTGTGTAGCCTCACACACACCTGGTGTGACCGAGAGGAGCGGCCTGTTAGGGACTAATGTGAGGAGAGAACATGTGCATTTCAGTGAGAATGTTTCTGGTTTAAAGCAACATCAGTTGTGACTCCTTTAAACTGCACATGTCATCTGAAATATGAGAAGTATACGCTACAACACAGCATTTAGTTAGTACATGGAGGCCAAGTGTGTAGAGCCTCCCTTTATTCATGAATGATAACACAGGAAGTAGAGGTTAAAGAAGTGCAAGGGTTAAAGACCACCACTTCCTAGATGTGATCGTTTTGAGTCGATTTCTCAGTCTCTCATTCATCTTTTCTTTTCCGGTCAGGGTCACACACTTAGACAACGGAAACACATTTCCCCGTTTCTCCCTCTCTTCCTGTTTTCATTCCTCTTTTGTAATCGCTCTGGTTTGCAATGTGGCCCCTTATCACAGAGATTCTCATACAAGTATCAGGATGGCTAGACTCAATTGAAATGTGATTTTTCGGACGGAGGAATGTTGGGGCCAAAAACGCTTGCAACAAAGATGCATTTATTAAGAAAGATTATCTCTATTATTAACACATCCTGTGGCGTCACCACTTGTGGTGTTTCGGCATGCGGGCTAAAGAAAGCGAAAGGTCACATTTTCTATTGTGACTTGTGGAAATTTAAGTCATGCGGTGACTCCTTATTTCCAGTGTCAGCCTCCGGATATTTCGTTTTTAGGATTCCCTAGATCTCCAGTGTGTGTCTGCCTGTGTGTTTGTTTCATCTGTCTGACCACCAAGTCCTCCCAGAGTAGCTAACGCTGTCTTTGTGGTACAGTCAGCAGTTAAATCACATTCCATGGCTTCACTTCATTTCTCCCTTTCTGGTTTTGTCTGTCTGCCCGACTTCCCCCCTTCTGCCAGTGTCACAAAGGCCGCCCAGGGATAATGTGCATGCCTTGATGTGTCCGATTGTTGCAGTGTGATGTATGTTTAAGGTTCCGCCTGGAGAGGATCTGAGCTGATTATGTGTTTTCCGACCTGCAAAATAAGATGTTTCAGTATAGCGCTACCTCCCATGGCCAACTTATTCAGTGCTGTTGGCCCCCTCAGAATACAAGTACCTCAAGCGTCTCTGAAAAAAAGTATTGGTGTTTCCAGTAGTCACACATTGAAGTCATTAAAGTTTCTCGAATGAAGCCCATGGGGCTTGGCATCGGTTCGCAACTGCCGCTCCATAGAGCAGCGGAGACGGGGGGAGAATGTCTTTTAAGACGTGAAGGCGTGCATTCTTGCGGTAAGACACAGGCAGTTCCTTTACATGTTCTTCGCTTTACTTAATTTTCTCACAGGAATTGAGATTTTATGACCAATGGGGCATATGTTGGTGGGAAGGCTGTGTGTGTGCGAGTGTGCACACGCCCATGTCAGCGGCAGACCTCTGGAGGAGATTAAGGGACAGACGCTGGTCGGGTTTCCTCCACGTCAGGCCCATAGCCGAGGGAAACGTTCCCCAGAGGCACCCAGCCCAGACCAGTCCAACCTCCTCAACATCAAATCATTCCTTATGGACTGGAACCAAAAAAAGAATCATTGGTAGAGGTAAAAAAAGGGAAGGGAAGGAATGAAGAAAGGAATTACTTCATGCAAACTTCAAATATCAGCATAACCCAATCAATCCAAAAAAGATTTGTATGTTAAAAAACATATTTAAAAGAGATTCTGCTTCTTAAGAAATCCTCCCTAACATCGTCCACATGTACATCATTTCAACAAATCACCAGTCTAGAAAGTTCTGTTAAAAGTCAGAAAACTCATGTAGTTTCCTTTCAACAACACAGTACATGTCTCACCCTGCACTGTGTCATGCTGCTTGACCTTTGACACCGTGACCTTTCCCTCACTCACCCGTGAGCAGCTACCAATCCTGATGTGAGCGGCTTCAGTTCTCATTTCATCAAGGCCCAGCGGCACCAGGAGCTGGAACACAGGCTCAAACTGTGGCCCATCAGGTTTCACTTAGCTGTACATTTCTGAAGAATGTTTCCCCACTCCACCACTGCTACACTTTCTCCCATCCCTCCGGCCATGGGGCGCTCTCAGTCGGTTTCCCACAGACCCCGGGTGCTAGAAGGCAGGGGGCTGTGTATGTGTGAGTGTGTGTGGATCTAGTTGTGTTTTTGTGTTTCGCCACCAGAGTGCGGCCTTCATCAGACAGCTTTCATATTAGTTTCTTGTTTTCGAAGTGTAGTTCCTCACTCAAAAACAGTTTGACCTCCTTTGACGCTCCTGCTAACAACCCATTTAGCACCTCTCTTCCCGTTACCCCTCCCCCCACGTCTCCCCCTCCCCAGTGAGTTGCTCTCCCCCCAAGTCCCCTCTGTCAACCCTCCATCAGGGAAGGATATGAGGGCTCAGCGCTGTTGAGAGGCTCCTCTCCCAGGTGGATTCTTAGATTGCGGCGGCGGCCTTTGAAGGTGAAAGGAGAGCCGGCCGGGTCTCAGAAGGATCCCTGCAGGCAGCCAGGCACACAGACTGGCTCTCGTTAAAAAAGCACCACCTTTGTGTTCCCACAGGAGGTGGATGTAATTAACATAGCTTTAGTACTACCTGTGTTTTCAGCCGCCGTTGTCAAGGCTACTTCTGTTTGGGTTGTGTGTGTGTGTTTGGGAATGCTGGGATAGGTGGGTGTTTGGATGGGGGAGGCAGTGGTAAGCATGCACGGGGGGCCTGAACATGTTAATGCACATGTGTGTGTGCACATGAGAACTATAGGGGAGGTGTTCAGTGCACCACCCTGGTGGGCTGATGTAATGCTTAGGTCTGCTCCGTGTCTGGGTTCAATCTTGGCTGTAGATGGAGCAGTTAGAAAAGTTGGTGGTCATTTAAAGGGGCCCTATTCTGCTAATGTTGAGGTTCATATCAGTATGTAGTGTCTCTACTGTGACGTGTTTCTATGCTTTAATGTTCAAAAAGCTCTTTATTTTTCTTATACTGCCTTTGCTGCAGCACCTATTTTCACCCTCTGTCTGAAACCAGAGCCTAGTCTGCTCTGATTGGTTAGCTGGCCGGCTCTGTTGTGATTGGTCAACCGCCAACTGATGTCCCGCCCTTTATCCTATCACATACAATGTGTTGGAGCGCTAGCCAATAGAAACCTCCCTTTTATTATAGTGATGTCACTATTTCACGGAAGTAAACAAAGGACTACAATGGAGGCGTTTAATACTTGAAGTGGTTACCTGTTATAAATACCTTGGTATCTGGCTTGATGAATTGTCTCTCTTTTAAACCTCAGATCTGCTTAGAAAGCTAAGGGTGAAGCTAGGTTTCTTTTTCAGAAACAAGTCCTGTTTCTCGCTTGAGAGCAGGAAAAGGCTAGTCACTGTGACCTTTTTACCTGTGCTGGACTATGGTGATCTGATCTATATGAATGCACCTGCCCATTACCTGATCAAGTTAGATGCCGCCTATCACAGTGCGCTGGGATTTGTTACTAACTGTAAAGCACTTACTCATCACTGTACCCTGTATGCCAGGGCAGGTTTGCCTTCACTCACTGTTCGGAGGCTCAGTCATTGGTACATGTTCATATACAAAGCCATGCTGGGTAAACTACCACCTTACATCTGCTCACTGTGCTATCACAGAGAGTCGCAAGTAGCTATTTCCTAAGATCCCAGGATGTGTTTTTATTACATGTACCAAGTGCTAGGACTGTTTTAGGCACTAAAACCTTTATGTGCGCAGCTCCTCTAGCTTGGAACACTCTGCAAAACATATTGAAAATGAGCGTTTTGGTTCCCCTGTATCATTTTAAAGCACAGCTGGATGAAATGATATTTGATACTCCAGGTACCTGTCTTTGTGAATAAGTTTGTAAATTGTACCCCTGTCATTATGTTGTACGTGTCCTTTTTGTTTTCTGTTACATGTGTAACCAATGTGCGGCAGGTCTCCCTTGTAAAAGAGATCGTTGATCTCAATGGGATTTTTTACCTGGATAAATAAAGGCTACAAACAAACAAACAAATTCTGACTCTCTTGCGCTTTTAATAACTTTAAAACTTGAACCACAAAAAATAAGCTGTTTTCCATTTTATATTAATATGTTTCACTTTCAACATTAAGCCAGTGTGATGAATTAATTGATGTTTTCAGATGGTGTCAAACAAGGCCAAAGAATGTTGAAAATTACACTTCAAGAAAGTTTAATTGACTTAATTTGGATTCGAAGTAAGAAGCTCCATTAGCAGAGTAACATGAACATATGTGTTACAGCTTGTCCCCCCTCTCTGGTTCTTTGCAGGACGTCCTGAAAGAGTGCCAGGAGCAGATTGAGCGTGTGCTGGTGAGCAGCCTGCGAGAGGGCCGGCAGCAGCAGCAGCAGCAGCAGACTCAGAGGGGCCCCAGCGGGAAGGGCCTGGACGAGCTGGACCAATCCACCACTCCCACAGACGTCCGCGATGTCAACTTGTGAAACACCAGAGGGCGTCGTTGCACAGGATTTACAAAAGAAAAAAGCATCATGAAAAAAAACCTCAATTTTCTTAAAAGCAGAAAAAAAAGAACAAAAGAACAAAAAATGTTTTAAAAAAAACACAAGCCCTTTAAAAGAAAAAGAACAATGCTTGCTAGTTTTTATTCTTTTTTGTTGTAGATTCTCTGTTCTTCAAGTCAAAAGAACCCTGCCCACGAAATCGATTTTCTATGATGTTCTAGTCTAAAAGCAACCAATTTGATACCAGATGAAGCCCTGAGGTGCCTTGGATAAACAGAAGGGAATCCAATCATTTTCTGCCTTTGATTGTATAATATGATCTTTAAGTTATATTTTAACCATAGCTTGATAATGAGGCTGTTATGGTAGAAGTTGTGGAAACCATTCAGAAATTACATGGGATCACGGCAGGGCTTTTTCTTTTTGTCTCTGATTTGTATTACGATTACATTCGTGGCCGGTGTAAAAGAGGACATCAAAAGGTCCACACGAGACAGACAGAAGAAGCTTTTAGAACATTATGCTGAGCATTGGTTGGTCCCAATTCCATGGAAGAGACGGGATGATAATAATTAGCAGTAGTATTAGTAATTATTATTATTATTAATATTATTATTGGACATATTTTGGAACTGAGTAGTAGAAATCAATAAGCTCCTTTTGTCAGGCTGCTTGTGTGTCTGTTGGTGGTTGCATTGTGTGTGTGTTTGTATGTGAGAATCCAGAGTGTGTGTGTGTGTGTGTGTGTGTATGCATGCTATATGTGATCCTGTATCTATATTAGCAGTGAGCGTTCTATGGCGTAAGGCACTTGAGTCGAATCGTTGACTTTACGTCTCTGTTGAAAGACTACGGAGCGAGCGGAGGCTACACTTTGTCCATCAGTAAAACAGGGCATCTATGCTACATCACTGCCTTCATGCATTATCTATGTATCATGGTTCGTTGTTGGCCAACAATAAACTCATGTGCATGCACTATGAGTGAAACAGGTTAGCCATGAGGATATGGGCGAAGGGACTTTCACTTCAGAGCCCATGATCTTTCTAAGAGCATTTTTCCTCACATGAGGTGTTTATTACTGCCATTCTGTTCATGAAACATTACAGATTCTTCAATCTTTTTCACGTTGTTACGATATGGTGTTTCCTTAGTTGTGATGCCTAATGGACTCTCACATGTGTATGTAGCATGTGAAAACAGGACGATGTTAGGCTTTTTTAAAGTCTGGAGGACGTTTTTTTCGACTCCTGTATTAATGAGCATGGAGTGAGCAGGATATGGAGAGGATTGGAAAGAGAGGGACAGTTTGCAACTAAGACGTCACTGTGGAACTTTGGAAGGCACACAAGTGCACGGCACAGTGTGGTAGGACAGAGCGTGTTAGTGGTGCAGGAGCATGCTGCTGTGTGGAGGATTTACAGCCAGTGGCTGGAAGATGATGACGAACAAAAGATGCCCAAAGGCCTCACCATGAATCTCTGATATCTTGCATATTTGATAAAACGTTGATTTCCCATAATGTCTACAATGACACAGCTTAGTGAACAAGTGGAAATGAAATGAGGAACTAAGCGTGTACGCTGCCAGGTCATGTGAGGATGAACTTTCTTGGGGGGGTAGAAGAGTACAGGATGATAATATACTGTCAATGCATCTGGAGTCCCACATAGGGTTGTTTTCAGCTCCCCTATATGATTTCAATGGCAAAGCACTTTGAGAACATGCTCCCCAGGAGAAAAAGTCAGATGAAATGCGATGGGTGGTGATTGGAGGTGAATGGATGTTTTCTTTTTTTTTCCTTGTTAGCCTTTTCTTTGGTATACTTTGTAGGGCTGGTTTCCCAATGGTCACACATATACCCTTGTCAGGCGAGATTCAAAATTAAAGCTTGCGACAAGAGGACATTCCGATAAGAAAAATAAAAAAACATTCCTGTTAAAGTGCAAGTTAGTGGGGAGTCCGACCGTTTAATAGAAATTTCGACAAATTTAAAACCGAAATTTGAATATGAATCTGAACACGCTGACTCACAGAGTTCACTGATCCATGTTTTTATTTTACTGTCAAGAAATGAAATATTTGTTTTTACTTGAATTTTCTTTTCTTCATATTTATCTGCATCACAGCCACAGTGAGTCACACAGGGCAGCGATGAGCTGCAAGAGACGGTGGTGGTAACATCCTATTTGCACATGTTCTTTTTAATGAGGTCTGCATTTTAAAGACAGAGCAGAGGCTTTGTTTCCGAACCACCTGAACTGATGCGTGTCGCCGTGGTTGGTCAGTGTTTCGTGGTGCTGGCTCGTGTATTTAAGGCCGATTGTCTGTCAGTGAACACATCTGTCCCCCGTTAGCTTTGCTGCTTTAAATCATTTACAAGGGGGTTCATCAGCAAAACAGACATCAGCACAAATCAAGAGACGGATGATTTTTATTTTTGGTTTAACTGGGGCACAGCAAGGTGTCTTTGACTTAATGCTTGAGTTTTTAATGACAGTATGTGACTTTGCTGAGTGTTTGTTTGTCAGACTGAAGAGAAATGTGGGGATCTAATGTTTAAGTGATGTTTTTTTCAGTAAAACTGGGCAATTGAATGACATATTTGCCGAAACATCCCCATTTGAATATTTGTAAGCTCTCTCCCAAACTTAACGGTTGTGATTTTTTTCTTTCCTGCAATTTATTGTTGCATGTGTTATATAATGAGATCACCATTCAATTTCTGTTTGATATATTTTATGGGGTGACCAGACCCGCAAAAGGGTTTTTCTAAGATTTAGAGATACTGTATTCCAAAGTGAAGAGAGGACAGAGGAGGAGGAGGAGGAGGAGGTGTGAAGACATCAAGAAAAAAGTGTCAATATTTTTTATTGAGTTATTGTTGTCTTTTTGCGCTGCTAAAAGCTATGAATTTGTTTCATTTATACAAAAAAAATAACATTACCTAGTTGTGATGTGTCACTTGAGTGTGCTGCTATTTTATAAACATTTGTATTATAATATAATTATTTTACTGCTAAAGAGATACATTCAGAAAAACGAAGTAGATGGTGATAGAAGAACATGAAATGAGTATTCGACTGGAAATGTTCTTTGTACAGTTTGCTTAGATAGCATGTCTCCTTTCCCCCTTTTTTTTTTAATCTATTGCTCTCCTTATTCAGTCACATTGTGCGTCAGTGGTATTTCTTATACCTCAGGATTACTGGACAAAAGAAATCACAAACAAATCCATCACCTATACCTCTGCAGTTATCCGGGAACGGACGAGAAAGAATAAAGTGGGGGTGGGGAGGGCGAAGCGACGACAAATTAGAATCTTTGTGGAGGGTTCCCACTGTTTTAGTGGGGAAACAACTCCGCTCAGTGAGATGGGAAACAGGAAATGTGCAAAGTTTCCACTTGGACTCTATATTGGAGGGGGCGGGCACAACAACATTGCTTGGGAAGTGTTTATGCCGTAGATAGTTCAATAATGTTCGTATCTGTTCATGTTGGTGCTACATCTGCCTTGTTGTGTGCGAGAGAGGGAAAAAGCATTCCTATGATGGCCAAAGTACACTTCTTGCTTTATACAACCACATGACTCTGAATGTCAGTCAATATGGATTCTGTATTTGAGAAAACATGTTTTGGTCCGAAATATTGTGTGTGTGCATCATTGTTACCTTCAAATTATAATGGGTTGAGCTACACTTGTCATGTGCAAGCATAAATATTCTGGTATGTGTAAGTGTCAATGGTGCAGATTTCCCTTTGAGACCCTCCCCCTCCACTATAACTCATATCATGTACCTCAAATGTCTGTTGCACAACCTCTGTTCAATAAACTTCTGCTTTAAAGGGTGTGACACCACATCAGCTCACTATTTCCCATGCCTGCTTCCTTTTAAGCTGTGTGTCTTAATGGTTTTAATCAACAGACTACATTGTTTGTATGAGTCAGCAATGATACTGTCAAACAAAGTCCAGCTGTAGCACGTTTCACTTTAAAGTTACACACGCAGTGATGACGAATGTGGGACATTATGAATTCCCTTATCTTGAATATGAGGAAGACTAGTTATAAACACTCCCTGTTGAAGTAAAGGAAAAAGTGATAAGAAAAAAACACATTCTGTCAAGTCCCTGATGAGTCTAAAAACAATGTGAATAACTTATTTACAACTTCATTCATTCATATGGTTACACATATAATGCTGTATTTTTTCTTGAGGTAGAAAGATGGATAGAACTTGGATGGACGCTTGTTCCAAAGGTAGCTCTGGCTTGACAACTACAAAAATGACTGGAAAACAAATAAAGCTGGAGGATTATATTTCAACATATGCCCTCTAGTGGCAACATTCATTAAAACATGGCCATTTGATACAGACATCACAATGGGAAATGTCATTATTGGAAAGGAAAGAAAAAAAAATTCTGTTTTTAATAGTATTTATTTTTACACAAAAACGTAAATAAATCATAGAAAATATGTCAATAAGTCAATGTATAGTATGTTGAAATAACATTAAAGAAGTCATAGTATAATATGTAGAAAACTATTGCGTAAAAAAAGTCATAATATTGTTGCAGAAAAAAGTATTAGTGTAGTATGTAAACAAAAATGAAAAAGGTAATAGTACAATATCTCCAAAAAGTATCATAAGTCAAAATATTATAAAAAATCTATGGTCCTGTATGTCGACTATAAAAAAGTTCATGGTGTTTAAAAAGATAATATGAAGAAAGTCGTTTGTTGACAGATGTGAAAAAATGTGAAAAAGGTATTATGACAAAGGCATAGTATGGTTGAAAAATATGAATAAAAGTCATTTGAAATCATTATACAGTATTCAGAATAAAATGTCATACTATAATATAGCAACAAAATATGAAAGAAAGTAATAGTTTAGTATGTTGAAAAACTGTCATGATAAAGTGTCAACCATATCATGAATAAGTCACAGTCATCATCATCATATTAAAGTATGTTAAAACTATTATAAAATGTCATAGTATAGTATGACAACAACAAAAATAGGCCATAGTATCGTATGTCCTAAAGATTAATAGAATAGTAAATGAGGAAAAAGTCATAAAACACAATGTTGGAAATATGAAGAAAAAGGAAATGGTATTGTATGTTGAAAAAATATTTTAGTTTATTTTAGGTCACTATATTACAAAAGTCATAGTATAGTTTGAAAAAAAATCATAGTATGTCAAAAAACATGGAAAAGGTAAAGTATATAGTAAAGGATGGGTAAATATCATTAAAAAGTCATAATATTGGTGCCAGAGAAAAGTATTAGTTTAGTATGCAGAAAAGGTTTTTTAAAGGATAAAAGTATTTGAGAAAAAGTCATAGTACAGTATGCCAAACATTTTGAAACAAGTCAAAGTATGTCAAAAAACACAAAGTATAGTATGTCGAATATATTGTGGAAATAAGTCTTAGTATAGTATGTGGAACATATGGAAACAAATCATAGTATTGTATGTGGAAAAATATAAAAAAAGTTATAAAACAGTATGTCGAAATTATCATGAAGATTGTCTTAGTATAGTACATAAAGAAAACAGGAAAAAAGTCATAGTATAGTATTGCAAAAATATCATGAAAATATCTGGAAAAAGTCATGTCGAAAATGTCATGAAAAAAGTGACAGTACGTCGAAAATATAATTAAATAGTAGTATACATCTTATTATAAAAAAAATACATAAAGTTCAACAATATCATTAAAGAAATCCCAGTAATGTATATTGAAAAAATCACAATCCTAGTTTAGTATGTCAAAAATATCATCAGAAAAGTAATTGTGTAGTACGTCGATAAATGTGACAATAGTCGGCTGTCATAGTACAGTATGTGGAAAAAATCATGTAAAAAACATAGTACATTATGTTAAGCGAAAACACTTAAAAGTCTTGAAAGGTTTTGGATATTTGAAAAGGTGTGTATATTGTTAAATTGTAAGATTATTGTACCCAAAGCAGGATAAGACAAGTAAAACGTAAATGGCCCTGTTGGCTTCCCATACATCCCGAAAGGTTTCAAGTTCACGCGCTCTCCATGCGCGAGAAGTGTACTGTAGTCGTCTTCAGGACACCTTTGAAACCAAAAGTCAATGCGATATTCTTCCGTCGTTAACTTGCAGCAGAGCATGAAGGCGCTAACATTTGGGCTAACTCTTGTTCGACAGTAAGTGACTAAGTGCAGTTGACATTCATACATGTGTTTAGCACAGAGGCTCAGAGCAGTGCTGCTGGTCTGTCGCTCCTATTTATAGTTCTCTTCTGTCTGCTGTCTCTCCGTGGATTTATTAACTAGTTTTTATGTTAAGTAATGATACATTTCATTTGTATATGCGTTCTGCATGTGTCTGCAGCTAGACTGTGCTAAACATAGCAGGTGTCTCATAGCATACATTGTTATGTTAAGTTGTTACGTTATGAATACAGACACGCCTTTAATTGTAATAAGAGATTGGAGCAGCAGCATACACAGGGAAGTTATTGAAGCTTCAAACCGAGCAGCTACAGTAGGCTCTGTCTCTCTGCCTGCAGTACCTCGTATTGACCACGAGAGGGCAGAGTGTTACCATTTTCTGGTAAAATTACAATCAAAACGTGATTGTTCAGAAATGTGTTTTTAATCTCTGATAATACGTCGAATAGTACAATATATTTCATAAATGATTGATGTCTAGGAGAGACTGCCACAGACAGGAGCATATCTAACATAATAGGTTTAAGGGCCTATGCCTGAAGGAGCAGAACACTAATAAAGGCGAGACATAAAAGGCATAAACAGATTTATGACTCTTTCCCGAGCTTCTTTAACAATTCTTTATTATTTGAGCTTGTGCACTCTGACATGATGAATCATTTATTTCCTGCAGTGGGGAGACACAGTACAACAAAGAAGGCCTGCTACAAGGTACGAGTGAAGATATCTGCACTATCTGGTTTTTTCTCCGTGTCTTTATTTCATCTTTCCCCTTTATCCCGTGCAGGTCAGCTCATCGACGCCCCCCTGTCAGAGAGCGGGCTGCAGCAGGCCGAGGCCGCAGGCTGCTACCTGAAACACGTCCTGTTCAGCAACGTGTTCGTCAGTGACATGTTGCGGGCCCGCCAGGTACATGCTTTCCTTTTACAGCAAGCAATGATGGTGGAGTTAAATGAATCAAACGATGTAGAATATATTCAATTTACTGTAGGATTAGATGCAAAAAGTGCTCTACACTCTATGTTACAGTATTAGACCACATTGTTCTCTTTTTATAATAATGATGATGGTCGGTGTGTGTTGTTTCTTCCAGACTGCTGAAACAATTATGAAACACAACACCAGTTGTCTTGGTCTGCAGGCTGTGTGGGACCCTTTACTTAAAGAGAAAGTGAGTGGCAATTATTTGTTGCAGATATGTATAATTTTTATGAAGAAACTTTAGTCATCCAGTCAATAACTTATTTCCAGAGCTTTGGGACAGCGGAGGGGGGGCGGGTGCAGGACCTGAGAGAGATGGCCAAGGCAGCCGGGCAGACCATCCTAGACTTCACCCCTCCAGAGGGGGAGACTCAGGAGCAGGTGGGGCTGCTTTCTGTTATTTTATTATTCATACAGATGTTATGTATGACTCGCTCTGACTTCCTCTCTTTTTTTTTTTTTTACAAGTCTTTTTATTTCATTATAGTGTACAGTAATCGATGCCATTTCATTTATATTGTAATATCACAGTACACTCAGTACAATACAGCGACAATGTAGACAATGACAACACCACTTCCTCTCTTTCTTAACTACTTATATAAGTGTCTCTCTCTCTTTCACTACTTTAATGTTCACTGTTGTGGCTCAAACGACATAACAGGGTACCAAAAGCTCTGTGCTTGAAATGATTTTCTTAGATACATCCTGACATAAACCTTTAATACCCTTATGTTGTTAAACAACAAGAAATCAAAACATAGCATTCATTATTCAGATTGTCCATCAGTCCAATGTGTGACCAACACTTCATTCGGAAAAAACCGAATCAAATCTGAAAAAAGTTATAGTTTTACATGTCTCATTTACAACAAGATCTTGTAGAAAAAGATGAAATTGTGCGCTCCTCAGTGCCACTGGGAAGCCATGAATGACCCGGCTGTGAGTCATCTGACAAAACTTCAGTGAAACGTTGACTGAACTGCAGGCTGTTACACAGAGCATATAGGAGAGGTTGAAATAATGTGTTCAATAAGAACATGAAGCCGGCTTTTCCCCCAATGTTTATAACACTTTAGTATTTGTTTTATGTAATGGCATTATATGTGTGCTATACTACAAACAAAGACATGTCTCAGTTACCTGTCTTCTAGCTGTGATTGTGCTGTTTATGCCTAGTATATTGCAGAGACATAAAGGCGACAGTGAGTAAAATGTGAGAGGAGCAAACACCCTGAAACTGCCGGGATCTCAAAGGGTTTTTGCTAAGTTTAAAAGATAATTGAAAAGATGAACCTGAAGATGCTTTTCGGAAAATGTGATGCTAATCGTTTGCACTTACGGACCGTCCACACAGCAGCGTTAAAAAATCTTGAAACGCTTCTGCCCATTCACTTTGAATGGGGTGACGTCACTTTGCCTCACTTTTCGCCGAACTGCATTGTGGGCAGGCGAGCGGAGATTTTCAGGATTTTCAGGATTCAAAGTTGAGCAATGTTCAACTTTTGAAGCTGAGGTGGAAGCGTCAGCCAATCAAATCCCGTGTATGCAAATCTGACAGTTCAAGCTCTAGCCAATCAAACCGGCGTGTATGCTGGGAGAGACATACCGCAGGTCATTTCCTCATATTCCACAAAATGGAGGAGAAATTAGCGGTAGGGAATCACCCGGTGCTTTATGACCAGTCCCTATTTACCTACCGGGATATAAACCGGAGGAGCCAGGCATGGAGGGAGGTGGCAGAGACAGTGGTATGTTTTTCGCCTGTTTGGGGAGTTTATATCCAGTTTACTTCAAACTTTTTTGCTTCGTATGTCGGGGGCGGGAGATTCATGTGATTGGTTGTTGGTGCCTTGCTCGCAAAAAATCCCCAAGCTTCAGATACGCCCACCTCCAAGATTTTTTTAACGCTGCTGTGTGGACGGTCCGTTAGGATGCACTTTATCTTCATTTAAAGGGCCCCTATTATGCGTTTTGGGTTTTCCGTTTCCTGTAGTGTGTTATATAGGTTTTTGTGCATGTAAATGGTCGGCAGAGGCTAAAATCCCAAAGCGCACCAACACATTGTACGTGATAGGCTAATGGGAGGGACATCTCTAAGCGGTTGACCAATCAGACACAGAGGGTGAAAGAGGTGCTGCAGCTCAGGCACTATGAGAAGAATGAAGAACATTTTTTGAACATTAAAGCGTGTTAACATTTACAGTAGAGCAGGGGTGTCAAACTCAAATACACAGTGGGCCAAAATAACAAAATGGGTACTAGTCGAGGGCCGGACTGGTTCAATGTTTATTTCAAAACTTATTGAAATGAACTTATTGCACATATTAAACCTGGAACTAACAAAGCTTAAATTATTGCCTATAAAAACAACATTAAACATTAAATAATCAGTTGCATTCATTTCTTATGGCTCTATCTGCAGCTTTTCCCGAGTCATTTCTTATGATTACATTTTTCCACAGGCCAACAACAGCTTCATAAAAACTATTTCCCTCAAAGAAAAAAACAAACATGCCCTGTTGTCGCAAGAAACAAAGTGCAGAAGGAAACATCCATGTAAACTCAGTCTGCTGCTCTGTGGTGCTAGTTCAAGCCAGATACTTGGCATCTCATCTTGGGTGCAAGGTCATCAATGTTTGGGGTCAGGCTCTGAGCTGAGGAAACCCTCAGGATTGAGTGAAGGTGTGCGTGCAATATACCGGCGGGCCAGATCTAACAGTAATTATAAATTATCCTGCGGGCCAAAATAAAATCCACCAAGGGCCTGATTTGGCCCCCGGGCCTTGAGTTTGACACATGTGCAGTTGAGGAACAAAATACAAATCAGAATCAGAATCGGGTTTATTGCCAGGTAGGTTCACACATACGAGGAATTTGACTTGATGTCGTGGTGCAGACATAAAATATAAAACAAAGAATCTCCATATAAAACAAAAAATCTAATATAAAACAAAAAATCTTTAAGGACACCGTAATAAAATATAGTTAAATAGCAATAAAATAAAGCAGTAATTTACATGGAAATAGAATGTAATGAATTATAGAATATAAACTATGAAATATGAAATAAGAATATGTGCAGTAAGCAGTATGAACATTGTGTGCATTAATGTAATGCATATAGAGTCTGCGTTATGGCTGAGGTAAGTGTCAGCGGGGGGGCCGGGCCTTGTTTAAGAGGCCGGTAGCGGAGGGGAAGAAACTGTTCAGGTGGCGAGAGGTTTTGGTCCTGATGGAGCGCAGCCTCCTGCCAGAGAGGAGGGGGTTGAACAGTTTGTGTCCAGGGTGGCAGGGGTCGGCCACTATCTTCCGTGCCCGCCTCAGGGTCCTGGAGGCATGCAGGTCGTGGAGGGATGGCAGATTGCAGCCGATCACCTTCTCTGCAGAGCGGATGACCCGCTGCAGCCTACCCTTATCCTTGGCTGTGGCTGCAGCGTACCAGATGGTGATGGAGAGGATTGACTCGATGATGGAGGTGTAGAAGTTCACCATCATCGTCTTTGGCAGGTTGAATTTCTTCAGCTGCCTCAGGAAGAACATCCTCTGCTGAGCTTTTTTGATGAGGGAGCAGATGTTCTGCTCCCATTTGAGGTCCTGGGCGATGATGGTGCCCAGGAAGCAGAAAGACTCCACAGCAGTTACTGGGGAGTCACACAGAGTGATGGGGGCGGGTGGGGCTGCGTTCTTCCTAAAGTCCACAACCATCTCCACTGTCTTGAGAGCGTTGAGCTCCAGGTGGTTGTCCCCACACCAGGTCGCCAGATGGTCCATCTCCCACCTGTAGGCAGACTCGTCCCCACCAGAGATGAGTCCGATGAGGGTGGTGTCGTCTGCGAACTTCAGGAGTTTGACAGACTGGTGACTGAAATATGAACCTACATGAGTTTAATAGGTCCCTTTAAACTGCTTATACGAATCCAATCTGATTCAATGTACACACACTACCACCAGGTGGCAGCAAACACTCATCTCCTTAGTTAAACCAAACCTCTGCATGGAGGTATCATGCCCTCTCAGAGCCCCTTTGCATCCACATGAGTGTATATATTTACTTAGTATCAAAGTACATGCTCTTCGTCCGTTAAACAATCTTTAATCTTTAACTGTTATGATGGGCTGAAATACTGTGCAACTTTATCTAAACTAAAACAACTATTTAGAAACCAAATCCTGAATGGTTATGAGCAGGACCTGAGAAGTGATGCTTGATATTTCTTGTCGATGTAAAAGTGATTTGTTTTTGGTTGTTTTGTACAAAGAAATGATTTGTTTAAAACAATAAATCAAATATCACGGTTGCTGATGACGATGACCTACACTTTTACTTTCATGAACAATGTACGCTAGAGGGGGGTAGGACCAGAAACGTTTTTAAGCTTCTTCTTGCCCCTTTTGAACATGACGGAAACAATTTGAGAATTTATTTTTTTACACCTTGAAAGTTTTTATTTTATTTTGCTTCTCTTTGTTATAATTATTGTTTGTTTGTTTTTCTAACATGTTCAATAAATTGACTACTACAAAATAAAAAAATGTATTTAGTGTAACACATAGACAGATTTCCCTTGCTGTTTGTGTAGAAGGAAATGCAACAGAAGCATGGCGTAACAGATGTTTGCTCTGTCCAGGTGAAGGAGCGGGTCAAAGAGTTTGTGGAGAAAATGCTGCAGAAAATTGGGGCCAAACACTGGCAGGACAGAGGGGTGGAGGAAACGAGCCCACCTGTTCCAGCAGAAACAAGTCCTGTGGAGGGGACGGCAGACGACGGGGTGAGGGGGGTCCCAGTCCACGCTCTGGTGGTCACACACGGGGCCCTCATGTGTGTAGCCCTGCGCTTCTTTGTGGACGAGCTACATTGCTCCGTGCCTCCGGGTTCTAGCAAAGAACATATGTTCTCAGTGAGTCCGAACACAGGTCTGTGTCGGTTCATAATCACCGTGAGAAAGGAGGAACACACGTTCAAACTGTCAGGGATCCGCTGTGTGTTCGTCCACCGAGGGGACCATATGCAGCAGTAGGAGCTGGAGGTGTTACAGAAAGGAATATGAGGATAAGAGGAAAGTGAGACACACAATGTGGAGAAAGCTCCAGGGACTCAACACAAACCTCAGCAGTGATTCGTAGTTGTTCAATAAAAGCATGTTTTGACAAGTTAAATATCAAAGAAAAAGATGTAGGTCAAGTATTTAGGTGCAGTTTATTTTGAAGGATGACTTAATTTCAACTTGTTTCAAATGTAGCATTATCGATATAAAAATGGACGCCGGGGGAAGATCTCTGTATCTTGGGACACATACTAAGAAACCCAGCCTGGAGTGGGGGAGTTTAATAGTTTAACATCTTTAAACACAAATAACGCCTTGATCAGCTTCAATACGATTCTTTGAGATCGAATCGGGACAATCCCTATTCTTAAAATCTAAACATGTTTTAAATATAATTTAGAATGCTCGAATAATTATTCAGAAATCCAGTTTAAAATCAACAAGATATGGATTAAATATATTAAATTAACACATGATGCCAGATATATAAAGCAGCATACAACAAAATGCATTTAATGCTGAGTCATGCTTCGAGCACTATGTTCCTGTCTGGCTGTTCATTATTGTAAACGTAGGCAGCTTCTGCTCTAATGAGTCCATGTTGCTATATTTACTCTCAGGAAGCTCACAGATCCTACGTAGGAGCACGGAGCAGAACTGCTACCATGTTGACTTTTTGGAAATGAGTGACTCTGTCATTGTTGGGAACTAACACTTTGGTCAGCAAGGGCAAGTGTATAAGACTGCATACATGCCATATTTGTTTTTACTAGCATGTATGTTCACTCTACTGGTCATCCCACTCTGAAATCATTTCTTGACTACTGAACTGGATTGTATGCAAAACAATGTACGTATTCAATGGCTCTTACTGCCGTGATTACATCATTGAAAATACTTTATTATATCAAATAATGCTCTTAGACTCAAATTGGTTGTTACATTTGTATAACTAATAAATGTAGCTTTTACATGTGTCTGTTTGAAAGTTCAGTCTTAGTGGATACTTACCAACATTTAGATATGTTTCCAATAAAACTCCTCATCATACACTGTTCCTCATTGGTTCAACTTCACATCATTTCAATCTTTGGTTTTACATTATTTGTCCTGGTCTAATATTTGCCACTTACATAACCAATTTGCTGTGTGCTTAATCACCATGTGATTGTTGTGGCCTTTCCTTGTGGACTGCAGCAAGCTATTTGTTGTTCTGTTCTGGTTCTGCAAACATCATTTCAAATGTTCCAGTGAACCTTTGATAAAGCTTTTACTGGTATGTTGTTAGAATGAACTTCAATAAAAATGTGAATATTACAGGAAAGCAAAGGCCGCCCGAGTTCTTCTTTTCTTTAAAGATCTCCTATCATGCAAAATGCACTTGTTGATGTCTGTTATACATACATATGTGTCCCTGGTGTGTCAGGGAAGTTGAACTCACAAAGTGTCAGAAAACAAAACGCTCTCTCTTTTCCTCCGTACCCAAATCTCTAAAAACGGGGGTACAACGGAGCTGATCCAGATTTGCGTCCGATTATATGACAATATATCGGAAATGTGGACCCACGGCCCTATCAGACACGTTGCTATCGGAAACAATGCGCAACGTGTTTTGGAAGTAATATGGTCTTTGTTTACATTAGCAAGCATCGCTAACATGTGTAAAAAAGCAGGAAATAAAAAAAGGAACTCACCTTGTGGTAGACCGGCAAGAGAAAAAGCATTTGAGCTCCATACTGTTTCAGAAATAATCCTTGATGTGGTTTTGAACATGATATGGCTTTTAATCACGGCAGTATTTAGCTGTATCTGCCGGAGCTCACAGTGTGCCTGCGTGCTCCAAAGGGGGCGGGGCCAGCAGCTACTGACCCAGAATCAGCACTTCAGTAACAGGGCTGAAATAGAGGGGTATGAGGTATGGCTAGAATGATCTGTTTGGTATTTTGAGCAAAACACTTTAAACACATAGACATATCTTTTATATATTTTTATATATCCGAGACCTATAATATATGCCTAAAAATAGTATAATAGGAGACCTTTAATGTAACAATTTGTTAGAATTGAATTTATTTCATCATACATAAGTGCACCTGGAAGCAACAACTAAAGAAAGCACTTTTACATTACATTATTACATTACATGCTACTTGTTAGACGCTTTTATCCAAAGCGACTTACATACTCAATACTGTGGACAATCCCCACAGGAGCCATTTGGGGTGAAGTGTCTTGCCCAGGGACACAACGACATGCTGGCTGCAGTGGGGTTTGAACCTGTGACCCGAACACCAACGCACAACCCACTGCACCACACGCCTCCCCACTTCAGACACAATCCACAGAAATGTTAACATTTATTCTTTCCACATCAGAACAAAACAATACAACTTGAAATATATAAATAATAAAACAGTAGGCTAAACATGAAGTCATTTTAATAAATAAATACCTTTCATCGCTGTGACTATTGGTGTCCGGCACCTGACGTAATTGCATTGCATTCATGTGTGTGTGGCAGATTATTCACGTCTCCAGTTTGACCTGCTCTATTTCTGTCTAAACTCCTGTTATGGATCTTTACTGTATCAACACATGCACGTAAAAACCTTCAGAATTACCTACAGATTACACATTTGTTACATATGCAAAACAAACATTGCCACATCTGACCCAAGGTTTAAACTTTAACTGAGGGAAGAGGTCAGCGGGACGTGGGACCAAACTCTGCATGGTCATGTTGAACGTTGCTGTTCAAACAGCACATCTGTACAGCTGCTGTTATGTAACAGGAGCACATTACAAAGCCTTATAGTACCAAATAGAAACAAATCCTGAAAATTCAGATTCAAGGATCTTATCTCTATTTTTCAGAAGTTGTGAAATATTGAAATCCCTTTTGTTTGTCTCTGACTGACCCTGCAGGATAAGAAGTATCTAACCCCCTGCAGCCAAGCACAACGTGAGTTTAGAACATAAAGACCTGCAGCCCCTCTTGACTTTTCACACACTGAACACAAGGTCAGTATCTTATTACTTGTTCTGCTCGATCTGCAATATTAGTCTTGACAGGACTGACGGGCCCGTTGGGCTGTAGGACCCTCAGGGGGTCGTCACAGGAAGTGATGGTCTCCTTGGAGACAGCGCCAGCCTGGTCCTGGTCCGGCTGCACCTGATCCACATCCTGGTGATCCGTGGCAGAGTGTGAGGGCTGAGATCTTAGCGGATCAGAGGGGTTCACCCCCTCGCTCCGCCTGTGTCTCTTCACCAGGGGACCCAGGAGCTGCTCCACCAGGCCGGGGGAGGGTCCGGGGGGCTCCTGGTGAGCGCCTCTCAGCTCAGCTGTCTCCAGTCTGAGCAGCCGGACCCCACTTGTGGAGTAGAACACGTCACGTTGGTTGGACAGATTTAACCAAATGCGCTGGAAGAGACAATCTTCTCTGTCCTTTTGCCTCTGTTTGGTAAAGAAAAAGCAGACACAATGTTTTAATGTTAATGTTGCACTCATTTCCTCTCAAAATAAGTGCATCATTAAAATATATACTCACAGAGTTGTACAGCTCCCCCTTTGAGTCCATACACAGGAACCGCTTTCTTCTCAAATCAAATATTGACACAAAGTTGCTTGTATCTGTCCGCACTGGCAAAATAACTGGAAAAATACAAAAATAAAACAAATTTAAAAATACTTTCATTCGTTTTAGATGGGAAAATCTTATTTTGTACTGCGTATATCATTTTGTCATGAACATTTCTAGCTGCTAGGAATCCTGTTTGCTTGTTTAGATGACATAGCAAAATATGCATTGGACAACTAAATAATTAATTTTGGCCGTATTTCCAAACATTTATTATGTATGAACAAAAAACTATTATTTTTACATTTAGAATGTATGTAGAGAATGATATTACACGCTTATAAATAAAATAAACTAAACTTCACAGAGGAATTATTGCATTTACTGTTAAAAAAAAGCACTTTTCTAAAAATCTATAAAACAACCTGTAATGAAACAAGATACGTATTTAATAGATGTATGCAGACTTACCCAGAAAGTTTCTGTGAATATGTTTTCTTATTGATCCACTCATCCCCAGGTAGAAGCGTCCAGCTGTATCATCCTGTGCTTCTCTGGGGAAGTTGCTCTGCTGACGCTGTATGAGCTGCTCGGGGCCCCGGGGCCTCGGTGAGCAGTCCACCGGTACAGACATACGTACGGCTATCAGGATGAGTGAGAAGAAAGCCAGGTGCATGGTCAATGGGGTGGCGTGCTCTCTACTCTGAACTGCACAAATGTTCAGGTTGGCGTGTGGGCAGCTACTGGAGGAGGAGAAAGTCCAACAGGTCTATTTAAACAGAGGGTCGATGAACCGGCTAACTCATTTACGAAATGATTCAAAGCCGTCCTGTTTTTCCATGGTTAAGGGTTGCCTGGATGGAATTCCTGCAGGCTCTAAAAGACCATTTCATCTGTGAGTGTAGGTTTATTACTGTCAACGCCTCTGCCTTAGAAGCCTAATTAGCTCTTTGTTCAAATCTAAGAAATCAACCATCAAGACTTCAGAGGATGAGGAGACGGCAGAAGAAGAGGAAGGATGATAGAGACTGTGATTTATTGACCTGTATCTGTGATCAAGACAGATAGGTAAGAGTGACAAACTTGCTTTTAAAGCTCACCTATTATGCTATATTTGAACAATATATTATAGGGCCATATCCATACAAAACTTGTCTCTGAAGTGTTTTGCTCAAAATACCAAACAGATCACCCATTGTAGCCATGCCTCATACCCCTCTATTTCAGCACTGTGCTGATTCTGGGTCTGGCCCTTTAAAGGTACCTGAGCTGCTGTGGCCACGCCCCTTTGGAGCGTGCAGGCAAGCTGTGAGCTCTGTGAAGAGAAGAGAGAGATTTCTACTGGCACAAAATTAGCTAAATGCTGCCGTGATTAAACGCCATATTTTGTTCCAAACCACATCAAGGATTATTCCTGAAACAGTATGGAGCTCAAATGCTTTTTCTCTCCCGGGTTTACCACGAGGTGGGTGAGTACCTTTTTATATCCTGCTTCTTTACACATACTCTCTCCAGTACAGGTTAGCTCTGAGTGTTAGCGATGCTTACTAATGTAAACACAGACCATATTACTTCCAAAACAACGCGCATTGTTTCTGATAGCAACGTCTCTGATAGGGCCGTGGGTGAAAAGCCAGCCCACATTTCCGATATGACGTTAAATCGGCAGAAAATCTGGATCAGCTCCATTGTACCCCCGTTTTTAGAGATTTGGGTACGGAGGAAAAGAGAGAGGGTTTTATTTTCTAATACTTTGTGAGTCTCCGTGCACCAGGGACACATATTTATGTATAAAACACATCAAAAAGTGCATTTTGCATGATAGGGGACCTTTAAAGCTAAGGTGTGAATGGCAGATGCTAAATGAGTAGTTCTGTTGTGTCACACTCTTGCATCATGAAGAGTGACTCATAGCTTATTCATTATCTGTACACACTTCCCACGTCTCTCACTTCCGTTCCCCCAGAGGTGGAAGAAGTACTCAGATGATTCACTTATGTAGCAATACTACAGTGTAAAAAATACTCAGTTATAAGTAAAAGTAGAAAAAGTACTCATTATGCCGAATGGCCAATTCAAGAACCATACATTTTAAATTATTGTTTTATAATTATTGAGGCATTCATGTGTTCATACCTTGGTTTGTTACATATACTAACTTAACATGTAATAATACATGATATTGTACTAGTTGATTTATATTTTGTATGAATAAACTAAATCTGTAAAATATATGTAGTCGAGTAAAAAGTACAACATTTTCCCAAAAATGTAGGGTAGATACTCAAATATTACTCAAGAAATACATTTTTTACTAAAGTACGGTACTTGATTGTAGTTACAATTCACCACTGCATTCACCGCAGCACATTTCTGAGATATTTTGTTGGTATTTTTACTGTACTAGAAAATGTTTTTTGACATTCCAGAAAGGTGGATTTTTAGAGCTTAGAAAGAACCTTATGAGCAGGAAACATGTGATAGATGACTATGTGTATGACATGTAAATGCATCACCACCTGTCTCTGGTGAGCAGAGACATTCTACATCCTGGTCCCTGCAAGAGAATGACTCCTCATGGAGAGTGATATATTGCTTGCTGATGAAGAACAAACACTAACAGCAATACTGAGTATACCACTTTATTTCCAGGTATGTTATTTTTAATGATGTCTTGAAACTTTCCTGGAAAGAACTACGTAACTGAGAACTAATAATAGGTGTTTTTAGTTTGCTGTGCTGACTTGGAAA